GGTGGTAAGCCAAAAAAAACTTTTCAATAAATAGATCTCATCTTTGAGATGGTGGTTATTCTATTAGGGTTAATTTCTTTTTGTGTTTGTCTATCGAAGATTGAAGATTTAGGATTTCATAATCTCCGGAAGTATCTAGAAGACCATATGAGTATTTTCACTCAAACAACTATTCATCAGTGGATCTCAAGCCGAATTAGTGCTAACTCACATATTGTATAGCTTCGGATGAAATTTTTTATTAAGGCGATCGTCGATTGAATAGGTAATTGTAGTTGTGTTGGAATTCTAATTTTCCTTGGAATTGTTTGTAAGTACCGTTTGACTATCTTTCATTAAAGAAATCCTTTTTCTTCTTGTAAAAAAAAAATGATAATTTGAGACAAATTATCTGGTGGCAAAATATGCCTAGCCATGAAGCTATAACTTTTACTAATTTGTTCATTATGTTTGCGATTACATAGTTTAAAAAAAAACAAAATTGCCTCAACTATTATAGTATTAATCATGTATTTGTCTAAAATTAATAGTCATGCATATACTATTTCATAATGTAAAAAAGAAAGAAAATAAATAAAAATAAATTGTCATTACTCATGTAAAAATAATAATTTTATTACATAGTTAATATTAAATTTTTAAAGATGGAGATATAGCTTATTTTACAAAGAGTTAATGGACGGGAGAGAGGAGACAAAAGCAACCATTAATTACAAAAGATAAATACATAAAATTATATAATGTCTTTAATAATGAAGGCCAGATTGGGGCAATGTAAAGGCTAACTTCCATCTTTTTAATTTCCATGATTACAGTGATAAATGACTTCTAAATTAGTAATTTAATAAGGCTTACTAACCTTTGTGACAAATCAGTCAAAAGTTAATTTTTTTTAATAGCAAAATGTGACAAAGGGATAACTCATGGATAATAATAACCAAGTCGAATGTTACTTAGAAGATTAATATAACCTTAATTAGAATGTATACCAAGTCTCCCTCATATTTTGGTTTTAACTCTCTAACTTGCTTGCTAATTCTTGTTACCTGGAAATCACTTGTAACTAGCTATGGTGCATAAATAGTATTATGCAAGCATCGAAAATCATACTTGTATTATACATGTGAATTAAATTGATTGTACTCTCTAATCTCATCTCATTATTCGAATAACTCTCTTTAATAATGTGTTTGAACTTTCCCGATCAAACTTCCAAGATATAAAACTATAAGTATATAGTTTTAAAACCAAAATCGGCCATGCGGTAATATTGTAGAAATAACCATAATTAGATCCTTAATTAAAGGGACTAAATATTGACCAATTTATTCTGCAAATATTTAGGCTGTATTTTTGGTAGTAGTTGCTGTAATCTTGGTAGTAGTTGCCTAATTTACAGGATACTTTTGTGTATAAATATTTGTACTATCACAAGCAATAAAATATACTAAAAATTGCAAACAAAATTCCGCTTAATTCTCTATATGGTATCAGAGCCATAAGGTTCGGATCTTCGGGAAACCGAAACCTAATTAGCTTCATCATCTACCGGAGACTTACCTTGAAATGGTTGAGCCACCGGAAAACAATAACCAACTGATTTCAATGGAACAGATGGAATAAATGTTCCAAATGTTTCAAAAACTCAACAAAAACCCAATCAACCCAGACTCTGGAACAACACACAATGTGCGTGTTACAGAGAAGTTAACCTATACAAATTACACCAAATGGTGTAAATTAATGCAGATCGCTATTGGTGGCCGGGGGAGGCTCAACCATATCACCGGCAACCCCCTGTCATCAGACGATCCAGAATATTCCCAATGGGCTCAAAGGGACTCAATAGTATTCTCGTGGATAATCGAGAATATTGACGGAGATCTCGTTAATCAATTTCTTGATTATAAAACTGCCAAAGATCTTTGGAAAGGCATAGAAACCCTTCTTAGTAGTGGACGGGACGAACTTCAGATTTTTTATCTGAGTTTTAAGGCAGCAACCATGACACAAGGGAAAGAAACGATTGAAGTGTATTTCAGCAAACTAAATACACTTTGGAAAGAAATTGACAGAAGGATGCCGAACCCGATGAAATGTGCAGAGGAAATTACACTGTTCAATTCATTCATACAGAGGCAACGATTATATCAATTCTTGGCTGGAATTGATAATTCCTTGGACAAGGAAAAGAGGGACATACTACACCAAGATCCACTCCCCACCGTGGAACGACATACGCAACAATCCGGCGAGAGATTATGCACCGTGGTATCATGACTAGCGCCTCATCATTGGGACAAGGTCCCTCAGAGATTGGGAGTGGTTTTGTTGCTCACCGCCGGTCATAACCTTCATTCCAGCGAGAGGAAAAATCTCACCTGAAATGTAGCCATTGTGGAGGGACGAAACACACCAAGAAGGGGTGTTTTGAAATCATCGGGTATCCAGACTGGTGGGAGGAGTACACGAAAAAGAAGGCCGCTACCAAGGTCGACGTAAACCAGACCGGCGGCAAGGCCAGTCTTGCCGTGAAATCAAGCCCAGACAGCAGTGGAACAGGCCACGATGGAGACGGAAAAAACTCAGGCAAGGAAGGTTGCGCAGCGAAGATCGTAAGCATGGAGGAAGCAGAAAGTACCACCAGAAATTATGGTGGTCCGGAAGGTAGAGAACAGAAAATGGAAAGAGGGATTGAAAATGGAAAGGAGGATTATTCCCCCTCTCATATGACGGCTAGAGAGGATAAGGGAAAAGAAGACCTAAACCACAAAAAACCCACTCCCTCTCACCCTCTAATCGTACCTCTTAAAGCCCCAAACCCACAAAATAAACCTAGCCCAATAAAACAAAAAATAGAAGCCCAAGTTGAAAATACTCAGCCCACTAGATTAAACCCAAAATCTTTTGGCCTCATTTGTAATAGAACTATCCCGTGGATATTTGATTGTGGAGCTACTGACACTATGACGTGTGATCCATTAGATATTAAAGCCACCCAAACCACCCATCGTAACCAAATTCAAACAGCAAATGGGAAATATATTCCTGTTACCCAGGCTGGGACCGTTGATGTAACCTCGGACATTCATTTAAATAATTGTCTTTTAATTCCTAGTCTCACTCATAAGCTTTTATCTGTGAGTCAGTTGACTAAAGAGCTTAATTGTATTGTCGTACTAATGGATTCTGGTTGTATTGTGCAGGATGCTCTAACAGGACGGATCATTGGGCGTGGTACTGAACGAGGGGGTTTGTACTATGTGGATGAGGTGGCTCAACAAGGTAACGCTTTGCTTGCTCATGGATCACCGGAAAACCAACTTTGGATGTGGCATCGTCGGCTAGGTCACCCCTCTCTTGGTTACCTTAAACGTTTATTTCCCTCATTTAAAAATATTGATGTAGCATTGAATTGTGAAGCATGTGTTTTAGCTAAGAGTCATAAACATACTTATCATCCTAGTTTAAGCCATGCCTCTAAACCTTTTGTTTTGATTCATTCCGATGTATGGGGCCCAACGCCTGAATTTGCGTTCCATAACTATTCTTATTTTGTTTTATTTGTGGATGATTGTACTCGCATGAGTTGGGTTTATTTCTTAAAACATAAATCTGAAGTGTTTGATGTCTTTGTTAAATTTTATCATATGATATGCACTCAGTTTCATGCTCACTCACAAATTTTACGATCGGACAATGGGGGGGAATATATAACCTTAGATATGGAACAATTCATTATTGACCATTGTCTGATTCACCAAACCACATGCCCAGACACTCCCCAACAAAATGGAATTGCCGAACGGAAAAATCAAACCCTTCTTGAAATAACCAAATCTATCATGTTAGAATCCCATGTCCCAGTCTATTTTTGGCCAGAAGCCATTGCTACTTCCACCTATCTCACAAACCGACTTCCCAGTAAACCACTTGCCTACAAAACACCTCTCGACACCTTATCCTCCCATGTCACCATCCCATCAGTCCATTCTTTACCTCCACGAGTCTTTGGGTGCGTTGTCTATGTTCATTTACCAAAACGGGCTCGAAATAAGCTCGAACCTAGGGCAGCTAAGTGTGTCTTTATTGGGTATGGGGTTAATAAAAAAGGGTACCATTGTTATGATCCAATTCAAAAAAGGGTCTACACCACCTTAGACTGTGAGTTCTTTGAACAAACTTACTATTACACCCAGCTAAGTCCTCAGGGGGAGAATTTGAGTGATGACCTTAGCTGGCTGACATATCCAGAAATGGTGGACCCAGATCCTACAACACAAGTAGGCAATACCACCGATGCTGCCCCAAAAGCAGCAGTCCCACTTCCTCTTCAGTCTCCACCAAATTCGCCAAATGAGCATCCATTTGATGACATTTCATTAGAAGAGGTACCATCTGAAAGCTCTCCTGTTTCCTATAATATGCCTGAAATTAATCCTGTCTCCAATGAAAGTGAACAAAACAGGTATGAGTTACCTCCTAGAAGTACGAGAGGAGTTCCACCAAGGAGATATGATCCTGAATATGAGGACCAACGGTCTAGATATCCAGTCGAAAGAATCAGCACTGAAAATCTGTTCAGCACAACCATAGCTTTCAATGCCTCTTTATACTCCGCAGACATTCCAAAGAATGTGGAGGAAGCTATCAAGAATGAAAAATCGAAGCAGGCTATGGAAGAAGAGTATCAGGCCCTATAGAAAAACAAGACTTGGGAGAAATGCATCTTACCAAAGGGGAAGAAGAAGGTGGGATGTAGATGGGTATTCTCCATCAAATACAAAGCAGATGGAACTATTGAGAGATAAAAAGCACGACTGGTTCCTAAGGGATACACTCAGACATATGGAATAGACTACTCAGAAACTTTCTCTCCTGTAGCCAAAATTGACACGATACGAGTTCTGTTTTCTGTAGTTGCAAACAAGGAATGACCTCTGTACCAATTTGATGTGAAAAATGCCTTCCTTCATGGAAGAATTGACGAGGAAGTGTATATGGAGGTACCTCCTGGATATTCTCATGATTTTAGAGATGGGGGAGGATGCAGATTGAGGAAGGCTCTCTATGGACTAAAACAGTCTCCTAGGGAATGGTTCGGAAGATTCATAAAAGCTATGAAGAAGTTTGGATATGGGCAAAGTAATTCCGATCATACACTGAAGAAAGAAAAAGAGAAAATCACCTGTTTAATCATCTATGTAGATGACATGATTATTACAGGAAATGATGAGGAGGAGATTGCAGACTTAAAGGGAAAATTATTTCAGGAATTTGAGATGAAAGATTTGGGCAACCTCAAATACTTTCTTGTCATAGAGGTCTTGAGATCAAAGCAAGGGATCTTCATTCACCAGAGGAAATGTATTCTTGACCTTCTGGTAGAAACAGGAATGCTTGGTTGCAAACCAGCTGAAACACCGATTGTGGCAAATCATGGCCTTCAAATTCTTGAAGGTGCAAAATTGACTAATAAGGAGCAGTATCAAAAGATTGTGGGGAAACTTATTTACTTAGCTCACACAAGACCAGACATAGCCTATGCAGTAGGGGTAGTGAGCAGATTCATGCATCTTCCACAAGTACAACACATGACAGCAGTAATGAGGATTTTGAGGTATCTAAAGGGTACAAGTAGTACTGGGATTTACTTTGACAAGAATGATCACCTAGATCTAATTGCGTACATGGACGCAGATTGGGCAGGAGATCGTGATGGTAGAAAATCCACCTCTGGATACTTCACCCTAGTAGGAGGTAATTTGGTCACCTGGAGAAGTAAGAAACAGAAAGTAGTGGCTTTGTCAAGTGCAGAGGCATAATTCAGAGGTATTGCAAAAGGGATAACTGAAATCTTATGGATCCGGAAACTTATGAGTGAAATTGGTTTTCCACAAAAAACAGCATGCAAACTCTTTTGTGATAACAAAGCAGCAATAAGTATCTCAGAAAATCCAGTTCAACACGACAGAATGAAGCATGTTGAGATAGACAGACACTTCATAAAAGACAAACTGGAAGATAAGATAATTAAACTTCCATTTGTGAGATCAAGAGATCAGTTAGCTGATATCCTGACAAAAGCCGTCAACACTGAAGCATTCGATGAGGCATTACGCAAGTTAGGCATTGGAGCACCGAATGCCCAACTTGAGGGGGAGTGTAGAAATAACCATAATTAGATCCTTAATTAAAGGGACTAAATATTGACCAATTCATTCTGCAAATATTTAGGCTGTATTTTTGGTAGTAGTTGTTGTAATCTTGGTAGTAGTTGCCTAATTTACAGGATACTTTTGTGTATAAATATTTGTACTATCACAAGCAATAAAATATACAAAAAATTGCAAACACAAATCCGCTTAATTCTCTATAAATATATATATGTATGCTTTTTAAATTTTTGAAGGTTGACGAAACACTATACAAGGTATTTCGGTTCTTTTAATTGTGACTTGTTGCACAGACAGATTTAGTGTAATTAGTATGGCACGTTGAAATATAGATCATAACGCACTAAGGTATAAGACTATTAGTTACGCAAAGCATAAAGTTGTAAACCCAAAAACTACATGTTAATTATAAAGAGGATACTTAATATGAACAATTTCATCTGATTACGATTTCACTTATAAGTCTTCATCCTAAAAATTAAACATAGTCAAGAAAGAAAGGGTCGATTGGATGTTGATTCTCATCACATAATATGAAAATAAACCAAAGGTGTAAAGGAAGAGGTTAGGTATTTAACTTAGGTTTATTGAACTCAACCCTACTTAGCTTTTTCCTATAATAGAAAGACTATATTTCAGAAACTTAAAAATATGATTAACTTAAACAGACAATATGAACTACATTTAACACATGTAATTATTGTAAAATACCCTTTTTTTTCTTAAAAATAATTAATATAAAACCCTTTTTCTTATTACATAAGAGCTTCAACCCCCCCTCCTAAAATATACATACTCACAAGCAGAACATTTATTATTCTTACAAAACTTATTTCCCTTTTGTTATGGTTTCTTGAGGAGTAGAGGTTTGTTTAAGTAAGAGAGAGAAATCGAAAATTTGAAAAATCCAAATTAGGGTTGATTTGTGTAAATTCAGGAAAAAAGAGTAAGTTCACAAGACTTTTTTGCTACCTTGATCATCTCTTCAAATGGTGATGAAAGGCCTTTTTAATTATTGCTATGTTTATTTTTGACTCGAATTTGTTTTTTGAATTTGATCCCTTCCCCCATATTTCCTGTTTTTGGTACCCTTCATCAATCACCATTATTAGAAGATGCGGTCTAATTAACTACAAGACGCGGCCTAATTAGCTACTATACCATTTGTTTCTTTACATTTCCATTTTATGATCAATGATATATGCTATATAATATGGTATTAAATGTGGTGCACTGGTTTCTGCTTGTAAGTTTTTTTTAGTGTGATGGTTATTTTTGACAAATTTTCTCAACATAGGCTTTTGCTTTAAACCTTGGAATTTGTGAATTTATTTTTGTGGTTATTTTTGACATATTTACTTAGCATTTTATATACTAAGCAACATTTCTTATTTATTGATCATTATATCTTCTATGAATAAATTCTAAAGGAAGCTAATTATGTTTATTTCTTGAATTATTAACAAACAGTTAGAATGAATGTATACTTTTCTGACTTGATGTGTCCCCTTATTTTCGGGTTTTCTTCGAGGAAGAAGATTAGAGAAACACACCATGGGAAGGGGAAAGATAGAGATGAAGAGGATAGAGAATAGGACTAATAGGCAGGTGACCTACTCGAAGCGACGACAAGGACTAATGAAGAAGACCAAAGAACTTGCCATTCTTTGTGATGCTCAAATTGGCCTCATCATCTTTTCTGGAACCGGAAAACTTCATACTTTCCCTGAATCTTCCAACAGGTTAACTAATTAATTAAAAATGTAAATTCTTAATTAATTAGTGTTAATAGAAATCTAAATTTTCTTAACTTTAAATGTTTATGATAAAAAATTAATATGATTTTTTGTGAATCTGAGCAGTATGTAGCTAGCTAGGGTTTTCCTCTCATCAATTTTCTGATGTTTTTTCATGTGTTTTTGAAATGATTACTTTTCTCAGTTTTGTTTTAAATTAGCTGCAGATCTCTGGACCTAACTTTGACCAAATTTTTATGTTGCTTTTTTTTTTCTTTTCTTTTTTATAACAAAAATTTAAATAATTAGGTGCAATATTTGTTTGTCTAACATATACTCTTAATCTAATTTATCTTACCTAATAATATATATATATATATATATATATTTTCTATTAAAACTTTTGTTGATTATGGCATAACTAGCTAGGTTAATCTTGACTTAAGATTGATTAATCTATGTGATTTAACTAAGTTATAATTCGATCAATTGGTAATTTGGCTTACTTGCCTAAATGTAATCATTCCGTATGAAATGTTAAAATGATTTTTCCTATACTCAATGTCTTAAAATTAATTTTGAAGGGCCATAAGAAGATCATACTATAGACTGTACTAATCCATTAAAACTATTATTTAATTTTTTTTTTAATTTTTTTTTTTTTTTTTTTTTTGGTTTTTTTTGCTATACATGACCTTGATGTTATTATGTAATTAATTAATACAGTTTGTTACATGGCTCATCAGTCTTCTAATTGTTTTCTTAATCTCTTTGTATCTTCATTTTCGACTCTCAGTTAATCATTTTGTAAGCTGTTTCAACTGTTACTTGTAATGCAACAAAGAGATAATTAATCCCGGCCCTCTACTAATTAAGCAAGAATTGAAGAACTTCTTTGTTATGTTTTGCAAGGGATGTCAAGCACAAAAGCATGTATATTCACCAAATCAAGTTTGTCTGCTACAAAATGCATGTGTACTTAGTTATATTAAAATAAAAAAAAATAAAAAATAAAAAATAAAAAAATTGCATTATATTTATATGTAATTCATGAAATAGTTATTAATCAATTGTGTATAGTTAACTTGACATTGACTACTAAATGGCATTAGTATCACGGTCCGAGTGTTTTTCGTGTAAGCTAAGAAGGTGTTATGTATGTTGTGTGTGCACGACAGCAGTCTAGAGCAAACCATACAGAGGTATCTGAATGTTCAAGGCATTCAGCTTCCAGTACATGATAATCGGGTAATTAAATTACAAACTCGACTGCTAATATTTCTTGTTTTTAATCCAAATTGATCATGAATTGCATGATTAATAAGTCTAATATAATGATGAATAATTGTTGGTAATTACTTTGTACAGGAAGAACTATATTCAGAGCTGCAAGCGCTAAGGGAAGCGATTCACAACGCTGAGCTAAGGATAAGGAACTACTTGTGTGAAGATTTGGGTCCTCTCCCCCTTGAGGACTTGCAAAAACATGAACAACAACTTGAATTATCCTTGAATGTAATTCGAGTACGAAAGGTCACTAATCTCTGCCATTTCAATTTAATCCGAAGACTCTGAACCTTAACAAAATTCTCTGCTCTTACATATTATTTTGATGTAGTGGACGAAATAAAGGACTAGATAGATTGAGATTTTATTCAGAATCTCTTTTGATATTTTTGTTTAACAAGAAAAAAGTTTTTATTATTGTGTCAAAAATTATCTGAAATTCTGTTTAATTTCTGGTCTTCCAGAACCAGCTCATGCAACAGCAAATGGAAAATCTTCGCAGAAAGGTTATCCAAATTAATAAATGATTATGAATTTTTCATTCATTTATAACAGATTTAACATAATTCTCTTAACAATAATATAATATCTTAAAACTAATTAGTTTATGTTATTATCCATATTGTGTTTTAATCCATTGTACTGCAGGAACAACTGTTGCAGACTGACAACGGAAACATGTATCGTTGGGTAAGCAATCAAATTACAGTAAACCTTACACTTACAATTGATCGATCACGTTAATCTTATGAAAATATATAGAAATTAATTCGATCTCAGGGAAGAATTATAATCATTGTTTTACATAATGTGTATATCTATAGTTGATGGGAGGAGTGCAACTTCAAGAGCAGCAGCAGCAGCAGCAGCAACTGATGGGGCAGACGACGCTGTTTATCGAAGAGCAGCCAAGTAGCAGCACTGTACTTGAGCTTGCTACTTCAGTATTATCCCTACCGCCTTCAACCCACTCATGACTCATCCGAACCTTCAAGACTATGGTAGATTTTCGATATTCATAATCCTTTTTTATCAGTATTCATATGGATGTAACAATTAAAGACATACAGGGTGTGTGCATATTTTCTGATTGTTTGTAATGTTATTTTGCAGAGTGAGTTGTCTGTTTCGTGGCCGTCGTGGGTGTACCTTCTCAGAATGCATATGGATATGCCTGTGCTTTATATATAGTTTTAGAGCTTACTATTATAAATGCTTGCTAGTTGCTACTGCATAGATCTTGTTAGTTTACAAATAAAAACCTGAAACTTCTTCCTAGTTTCAGAAACTTCATCGTAGTATGATTTTTCTGATTGTCTGTTAAACTTTATGATTTGATCAATACACTGTAATTTCTCACTTGATATATTTGCCCCCTCTTTCATATTTTCAGAACATCAATATATAGGATTTCACCAGAGTTAAGGGGCTAAATAGAAGCAGAAAAAGTAATTACATAAACGAACAATTTTCCTTAATATTGTTGAAATAAATATAAATTCCCATTATGCTTCATTTTAAAAACAAATTTCTAAAATACCGTTCACATAGGATTGGTCGTTAGCGGTTTTGCAATTTTTTTAATTAACGTCAAAGAGACCTGTTTTTATTAAAAGAGGGTCTCTTTGATTTGTAAGTATAATTATGAACGCATAGACTTTAAAATTAACCAGAGACGCAAAGAGACCAGCTATTAGTTAGGTAGGGTCTCTTTTCTAAACTGCTAATGGTGATAAAGGTTTTAAGCTGAACCAAAAGAAAAAAAAATTAAAGCCCTACACCGATCCCACGTGGACAATATATAGAAAATTTGTTTTTAAACCAATGTATAGTGGAAATTTATTTTTGTTTTAACAATATTGTGGAAAATCGTTCAAAAAACTAAACCAAACTCACAACTAGTGATTAGTCTAAGTTGCTGTGAATACTTTTTTTTTTAGTAACTTTTCAAAATATAGAATCAAGACTAAGCCCCTGTTCTTTTGAGTTTCCCAGGGCAGAAGTCAGCAGAGCAGAGGAGATTGCAACATAGCATATATCATTATTATTATTATTATTATTATTATTATTATTATTATTATTATTATTACCGCATTATTATTATTACTATTATTATTATTAAATATTAATTATTATTATTATTTATTATTATTATTATTATTATTTATTATTATTATTATTATTATTATTATTACTACTATCAAAAATTAATAATTATTATCTTTAAATATTAGTTATTATCTTTCAAATATTAATTTTTATTATAAAAAATCAATTATTATTATTTTTATTAACAATAATATTACTATTTTTATAACTATTATTATTATTATTATTATTATTAAATATTAATTATTATTATTATAATAATTCAATATTAATTATTATTTTTAAGCAGAGCATAACAACTCTAAAGAACAGGCCTAAGTGGCATGTTAGCATGTGGCCTTCTCTAAGCATCTATCACTGACTATGTCAGGAATAATCACTAAGTTTGTATCTTGATATACTTGTTTTACGCTTAAATTTAGGCATAGACAAACGTGATAAAAAATATGTGTCATTTAATTTAGAACGGAAGAAGTATCTATCATTATTATGAGTAATAAATACGGGATAAGGATAGGGTTTATTAAACTCAAAAACGGCTTTTTCAGTGTTAGTCCAAAATGGTTACAACAACATAACAAAGCCCCCTAAGAATTAAATGACTCTTTGTGTAAAAATAATAATAATAATAATAATAATAATAATAAATATAAAAATAATTAATGACTCATCAACTCATTGTATGAGTGTAAGGGTAATGAGCTAATTAAGTTATGTTGTGTCAGGGTGACCCAAATTTCATAAACCCAACTAATTATGTTTCAGGGTCGTTTTTGAAAAATTCTAGAATGTCGTTGAGAAATTGTTGGGGAAACTGCGGAAGAACCTAAAAGAATTGGAGAATTCTCAAGATGCTTCCAAATTTAAGTGATATTTTTTAGAGCATGCATGTGTAGAAGTTTCCACATATTTTTTCAACTTTTATATTTCATCTATAAATATTAATGTTGGGCATCATTTGGAAGCATTTATTCACCTACATCAAACTTCAATGATATAACTTATGAAAATAAAGTCATTTAAAAGAGTTATTCGTGTTCATAAATTCTAAAACTTTAATTGTCAACTTATATGTGTTTTAACAACAATATGATTTCAAATTTAATCTCATTTCTTTCATTTACTCATTCTTAATTTATATATATAGGTTATAGGTATTAAAATATGTAACCTAAAATATATAGCAATTTTAAAGATTTTTTTTATTAATCGCAAAATATATTTACTTATTCTATGAATTTTGACGTTTAATAATATTTGTAAAAATAAACAAAAGATATTTTTATTAATAAAGCAAGCAATGAATTGGAGCATCGCCCGGTGAATACATAGCAATTGCATTGGTCAATTTGATTAATTAACAATCTAAATTACTAATCAATCTAATACATGCTTAGGCCTTCATTTTATATGCCCCTAACTTCTTCTAAATAAACATACCCATAAGTTTATAATAGTATCTTTTGATAAAGAAACACTTTCTTTATGTTATTTATTTTGTTTATTAATGTTTACTTATTTGTTTATTTTTTATCTTCGGATTGGCTGAGTTATCAGCCAGCCCAACATTTTTACATAAATTAGCTCTCAAGTAAGAAATCAAATCTTCTCCTATAATATTAAAATTAAGCCACTAAATACAAGTACTTTTATCACTCATTTGTCTTTTCATTAGGAGAAATTTCCGATCAAGTTCAATGTACTTGGTAAGTTGGTATACAATCAATTGGAAATCTATAATACCGTAATATACTAAAGTAATTCTTTTTTTTTTCAGTGGTTGTTTTTTTTAAAGAAACTTTTATCACCTATTTATTTTTTTGGTTAAGAGATATTTATGGTTGTTTTTTTTTTATTTAACCTTTATCACCTACGTAGCTATTATATCTATTTTTTTTTTGTTAAGAGATGTTTATTATTGTTTAGCTTCTAATATAATGCTATAAATATTACTACTGTATTTTACCAGCCAAAACTACAATATTCCGTCAATAGTATATTCATGTAGGTTTTTTTTTCGCATATATTCTAATATCAATTAATCTGAATATGTTGACACTAACTTTTTTTTTTTTTGGGTACTGCCTAGTTGTGTAATAAAAGGTGTTTGTTCATGATTCTTAAACATAGATTAGTATTAACCTTATTAGTTGAATATTAGCTCGATTTGTTACTCAAAAGTATCAACTTATTTACAACTCTAATCACTAGTCGTCGATCTTTTCTAAAATCATCCCTAATACCAAAAAAACTGAGTTAGATGCCAAACTATTCTGAGACCAGCTCAGAAGGTTTAAATGCCCATCATCTAATAGCTCAACTCAAAAAATTAAATGTCCAACATCTAATAGCTCAACTTAATGATTTGTAAATATTATTGAGAAGCTATAAATAAAATAAAAATTATAATTAAAAAAAGTAAGTTTTGCAAAAGAAATTTGGCTTATAATGATATCAATTATTAGCGATCTGTGCAAAATAATACGATCTCAATTATTTGCTATTAGTGATATCACCGAACTTTTATATCATATGTGTAAAGTGGTACACCGGTCACCAAAAAAGGTATCTCGAAGAATTTTCCATTCAATTCATAACTTACTAGGGGTCTTAGTTGTTCTGTATAAACATTTTTTTTTCATTAAATTCTAAGGTGGTTCAAGTAGGAGGAAACTAATTATTTTGGTTGGTGAATTTAGAAATATTTTTGGATTTTTTAAACAATTTTTGAAACTAATTATATCAACATAATAATGCATTTAAATATCCTATTTACTATTGTGTAATGGTAGAATTTACTGCAGGTATTTTTAAAAAATACTAATATTTAAATACAATATTGATGATTAAAAAAAGCCTAACAAAGGAGTAAAGCATTATTAATTTGGATTATAAAGAAAATTGTTAATATAATGCGTATTTTAAAAAGAAAACAAAAAATTAATAATAAAAATAACATAATAATAATATATGGACGGAACATTTCTCAAGATACTTTTCTTTTTCGGAGACCGAAAAAAGGTGGTACCGCAAAATAATATATGGACGGAACATTTCTCAAGATAATAATTCGTATTATTTTGCACTCACCATTGATAGTTGGGATTAGTAAGCCAATTTTCTTTTTGCAAATTTAATTCCATGTCTAGAGATAAATTGAATTTGAGAATTTAAGATAAAAAAAAAAAAAAAAAAAAAAACCTCGTGACTCAAAGCTCAAGCTCATACTTGAATAAGCTCGATTCAACACCTCTAATTACTCATAGGTAGTTAAAATAAAATAATTATCATAATTAGGATTATTGTCTACTTGTCGTGTATGTTACCCAAAGTCAATATCAGTATCTCAATGGAGTATACAAGTATCATACTCCTATTAGGATTATGATTAGATATTTGGCAAGTGGGCCCTTTAAATTCCATGTTCTTCACCAATTCTTTATAACTTCAACTTCACCCCATCAAAAACCCACTCCAAGGAATCTTCTTCAATTTTTGTAGTCTTCTTCTTCTTTCCAACCTTTTTTTATCTCTTTCCTACTCATCATTAATCATCCTCACAAAAAATCAGGTGCCTAATTCTTTTCTATTAATTTTTTACTTTGAATTTGTTTAATTTTTTAACTTTGATTGTTATGTAGTGGTTTTTGTTGATTGTATGACTTTTTTTCTAATAAAGTTGTAATCTTGATTGTATAATTTGATTGTTCGTCTGAATTATTTGATGAAAGTTGCTGTTTTCTGGTTTTTTTCGAGATTAATTTAATTTAATTAACCCCACCATTAATTATTGATGGGAATTCGTGGTAAATATCTTGATTATTAATTGTATGAATAATCAATTCAATTGATAAAACACTTTTCTTGTTTGTGGAAATTACCATGAATTTGTTGAATTTATCATCGCAATTTTGTGAAAATTTCTCTGTTTTTATTTGAGAATCATGGTTGACCTGAAAATTTCTAATCAGGCCTGAAAATTCGATTAAGAAGTTAATTAGTTGATATTTTAAACTGGGTTTTCAATTCTTGAAAAAACCTAATTACGAAAGGATGATGATGTACCTGCGTTGTACTTTTTTGTTGTTATAATCGAATTTTTTGATTCTTAGGCTTTGGAATTCTGATTTATGACCTACAATCTTCTTATTGTTTCATCAACTGCCAATAGTTATTGTCATAGATATAGAGAGACTTTTTTGAACCAAGCTTCTTATGTTTAATTCAGGAATCATGGATGTCCGAGTCGG